CATTTCGTAGTCTACTTGAAGTGGCATCTTTCACAATTTCGTATTTTCATTTATATGATTTGCTGTAAAGTGTTCGCATCTCTTTATAAAAGCTCGCAATTTTGTTCAACATTACCTTTATCCATAACTTTTGGCATTGGGTCGTAAATCAATGAGGTCTTCAGCAACGTGCTGCTCAGATAGCAGCTGCAAGAGAGGTCTATGTTATCGCCGTCTACAATCCTTCGGTCAACACCATGTACTGTAGCAGATCAGCAGCTCAAGTTCTTATGCTTTAGTTCCCAGTCTGGGGACTCGGACTCGAAGGTGCAGAATGAGCATAAGAGCACCCCAGATGGCAGCAGAGAAGAAAGTAGCGCGAAGGGCAGCAGCATACGCTCCGATCACTAGTCAAGGTTTAGTATCTCTAACTTCCACGGGTACATATATCCAACACTTACCTTGTTGCTGATGCATTGAATCGAGTTTCGCGATTGCCTGGACGGATTTGCGAACAAGGAGGATGACATCCTCCTTGTTTGGTCCGGTGACCATCTCTTCGAGTTGATACACGAGGGTGTTCTGGAAGATCCAGCTGCTGGTTGCGACACCCATCACCGATCCGAGATTTCTCCACAAACCCAAGGTCGTCGTGGCCACGGCCTGGTCCTCTTGATCAGTAGTGGCAAGAACCGATACCATTAGCGAGGGGAAAGAGCATCCTTGTCCGAGACTGGAGAGCGAAACGCAAACCATCGCAAGCCAATCAGGCGTACCAACGCCCATGGAAGCGGCAGCGCAACCACCGAGCAGTAGAAAGATGTCGCCAAAGATGATGGTTGGCTTAAGCCGTTTAGTCCAAGTGATGATGAAGCCTGTCGACACACTGGAGATCGTCACCGCAAGAGTTGAGCCAATTAGCCTGAGACCCGAGTCAGTCGGAGTAGCTAGCTTGACTGCCTGAAAATACAGGGGCGCATTGAAGACCATAGTGTTAACGGAGATGGCGCCGAAGAAGTTTCCAAAGATAAGGCTGGCGCGAGGCTCCTGTACCAATAGCGAAATTGGCATAACTCCCCGCTCCACGGTCCGCTCATAGCGAACAAAAACAACAGCTAAAATGAAGGATGAGATCAAGGACGTGATAACAATGGGGTGAGTCCAGCTCAACACATTACCACCCAGATTCAGTCCCATAATCAATGAAGTCACACCGACGACAAGTATGAACGAGCCGACAAGGTCAATGCTCTTGAGGAGCTGCATCAGACTCTTCCTCTCTGTTTTGGCCCTCTTCAAGCCCAGGTCGGCAGGGGTTGTCCAAGCTGCCACGATGAAGTAAACAAAGATGAAGGGCAATTGCACGAGGAACGCACCTCTCCACCCCACTTGGTCGCACAGGAACCCGCCGAATGCCAAACCAAGGCAACCACCAATGCCCAGACAGAGGTTGATGTAGGACTGATAGACGCCTCGGTATTCAAGGCGCACTAGATCACTGGAGAGAATCATGCCCATGGAGAACACACCACCAGCTCCGAGTCCACAAAATGCTCGAGCAGCGATGAAGCTGAACATGCTTTGGGCGGCTGCGCACCATGCCGTTGTGACGAAAAAGATGGCAATGGCGAAAAGGTAGACTGGCTTCCTTCCAAATGTGTCAGAAATGCGCCCAAAAAGCGGGAGGAAAGCGGTAGATGTCAACAGGAACGCGGTCGATAGCCAAGATGCGGAGTTCGAAGCGTGGAAGTAAGAGGTTATAACAGGGTGACTCGAAGCCATCAAGGTGGAGTCAAAAAATCCGATCACGTATCCCATCATGATACCAGAGAAGATAAGCCAGAATCTCATGGGTGAGACATTGATGAACCGTGAAGCATAGCCAGTAGGCTCACCGGCAACTCCATCTTCGGCATCTCCGGGCACTTGTTTCTGGCTCACGGGAGCAGAAGGGAGTCGCTCGAGATTAGGTTCAATATCGAGCCCTTGCGGGATTGAGGTGACTCTGGAGAGACTAAGCAACGCCGGGTCTTCCTCGGGGGCGAAGAGGGTTGAGGACAGGCTTGGATCAACATCCTTATCTACAGTCGTATCCTCTTGACTGGTGTATAATGATTGACGGGAAGATTGATGCAACAGTGGCGTAGACTCAGTAGCTTGGAGAGAAGATGGTGGCTTTCCATCTGTTGCATGGGGAGAAGTCATAATCGCAGTAGATGCGGTGAAAGAGATTGGATCAAATAATCACTCTAGAATACGACTTTGGAATAAACTTAAAGATCACAGAACATAGTATATGAAACAGAATATCTCCACTGAAACTTTGTTCATACAAAGAAGAAAAGGATAATTGAGAAAGAAAAGGAAAGAGAGCAGCCTACAAAGGGAGGTGTAATTCAGACGGGGAGACTGGCTGAGACAAATTTTATAGAGGGATTTTCTGGTCAGTGGCACTAAAGAATGCACGCTGCGGCACGGTGGATTCCATCCCGCACGGAACTATGGATATGACTCGACTCGGTCAGCCTTTGCCTCCTCGACCTAATTGCGCGGAAAGACCAACCCATTCTCCACCGATTTGGACGGCTGCATTGGTTGGTTCACAGGCACGAGGAGCCCAAAATTTGACCTACGTACCCGTCAAAGTTCTTCAAGATTCATGGTAGACGTGAAGCCAACGAACCCTGGAAGCTGTTTTGATAAGCGCAGATAGCGGCATTGCTGCCTCCAACCCCTCATCTTTTTAGTATGAATTTAGGATGCATGTGGACAGGATCCTTCTTGATGCAGGCAAATGAGTGTCTTGCTCGTACTGCGATTTCGGCCCACTCCCTGAGCATCACGTGTGTCTACTCTTGCTGATTGGCTTAACTGCAGTCATCGGACCCCAAACCGTGTATGCACCCTGCACAATCTAACCTAAAAAGGGATAGCGGCCCTCACAGCGATACCGGCAGAGTACATCTCGGTAAGGCATCAATACCGAGTGGACTATCCCACTACTTTAGCACTTATCTATGGGGATGCAGTAGTCACCTGTGTCATCTGCGGAGCTGATGGCGTGCGAACTGTCAGGCCCAGGTACCATCATCTCTCTACCAATGGTTACTTTTCTCTTATGATATTGTTCGGACCACTAGCCGAGCTCTGTCGTTTTCCGAAGCCAAGGATGAGTGATTTCTTTTAAACAGGTGAAGAGAATGAATCCGGTACTGCCCAAGTCAACGGATCAGCCTTAGCAGATGACACAGTGCTATATGCACGCAGTTTGCATGTTCAGTAAATAAGTGCTGCTGAAAGAACCCTGCCACATTGCACCAACTAGTTGCAGGATTCAATCCCGACTGCATGCGGTGTGCAACTGGATACTTTGTATTCGTCTCTGCCCAATGCTTGAACAAGATTTACTCTTCAACCATCCAATCACCTCCAATCCAGAAAGCAAGAGCCATCCGGTGGCCGCTTTGCTATGACATCCTCCCCGCATCAAGATGCATGATCAACCACTACTTGCAAAATTTTAGTCAAGGCCATCCTATCAGGTGCACCGTGTATACTCCATATCAAGAACACTGCATTGTCTTTGAGATATTTTCAAGAGAGGCATAGAACCTCTTGAATGAAAAGACTTTGGATGGAATCGGTCCGAGCGGGAGGCACAGCCGAAGGAGGTGGCGGGACTGATAACAGACTAGCGCATTCGATAAGAGCGTCCAACGGTGATTCATACACCAGATTTACCTGTCCAGGCCACCATTTCCGACACAGTCATTGCGCATATCCAACAAGCAGATCGAACCATAATCTGCGAACAGCTTGCATCGCAGCTCACTAACTTTTCGACCTGCTCCTGCAGCTGCTTTCCTCTCCGGCCTCCGCCTTCGAATCACTGAATTACCCCTCCCTCCACCACAATGCCCCCGCTTCGTATCGCCATCCTTGAATGCGACACCCCAGTCGAGAAAGTCAACAACAAATATGGAGGCTACCGCGGTGTATTCTCCCGCCTACTCCGCGAAAGCGCTGCAGCACTAGGTCAGCCCGATAAGCTAGACCCAGAAACCGGCCTCGAGATTAGCGGCTGGGACGTGGTGACGGCGCAAGAATACCCCAACCTGGAGGATGTAGATGCCGTTGTTTTGTCCGGGTCCAGTAAGTTACCTGCCCACCTTTCCCCCGTACCCTTCCTTCCCTTATTCCCGCGCATCGTGCAGCATGCACTCTCTCTGCAAGGCGCTCCCTGTGACTCATATGTCTCCTAGAACATGATTCTTTCGAGAACCACCCATGGATTCTGAAGCTGGTTGATTTCACCAAGAAAGCGTTCGAAGACAAGCGCGTTAAGATTTTCGCCATCTGCTTCGGCCATCAGATCCTGGCACGTGCTCTTGGCGCCAGGGTTGGTCGCAACACTGCAGGATGGGAAATTGCAGTGTGTGAGGTGGACTTGACTGAGACGGGAAAGGAGTTGTTCGGGAGGGAAAAGCTTGTATGTCTACCACCTTTCTTTCCCACCGATCTTCAGTCTTCTCATATAGCTTCTATGGTGGGGTACTGAACCTATGCTAACAAAGTATGTTTACAGCGCATCCATCAAATGCACCAAGACATTGCATACGGATACCCATCCGAGGTAGTGTCCCTGGGCGCCTCCCCGAGATGTGCAGTGCAGGGCATGTATGTTCCGGGGAAGTTGATTGCTCTCCAGGGCCATCCCGAGTTCAGAGAGGATATCATATCCGAGATCATAAATATGCGGACTGCGTCTGGTCTCTTCTCGAAAGAACAATCAGAAGATGCCTTGAGTCGCGCAGGTCTCCCACACGACGGCATCGCGATTACCATGGCCTTCCTGAAGTTTATGATCTGAGCAGCCCTGACCATATAAAGCGATACTATACTTTTTGCCAGGACTAATGGCTGATACACCTTCATAGCTAATAGCCTAGCTACCCGATAAACTTCACCTCAAGCGATGCACATAGACAGATCAAGAATAGAAATCATATCTTTTATCCACCAAAGATGCAAATGGTTAAAACCTCAAACCCAAGCGCATCTAGCCAGATGACCATAAACGATGGGTATAGAGCGACCTATAAAATCAGAGACACCGAATTACATAAACCACCGAAATGCAAGCGCTCAAAATCGACAAACCCTCGGAACCAAGCAACAAAATCCGAATGAAACAAGTTTAGCACCACATCACCCCGAAGCCGACGGATCCTCCCTCTCCAAAAACGTCGGATCCATCTCGACCTTCCTCTCAAACTTCGTCCACCAATCACGAAAAGTCTTCAACGGAACAGTTTCCTGTCCTCTATTGCTCGGATCCTCAGACGCAAAGCTGGCCAAGAAATTAAACGCATTGCCAATAATCCTCTGCGCCAGCACCTTCGTAGTAATTTCCTTCTGCTGTCGGTTATGTCGTACCAGCTCCAGCGACTGCCCCGCGCCACCACCAGCTTGCTCCGCCTCCAGCGCAGCAACCTGCGGTGCAACGGCCTGAACAGGTTCAAGCGAGATCCCCAACGTCACCATTGGAGCTGCGCCGCCCATCGCATTGCCATTTTGTAGTCCTGGGATTTGCGGCGCCTGGACTTTAAGAATCGCAGAGGGTCTCTCATTCGCTAGCGCTCCGATAAACTTAAACTGGGGTGCATTGTTGTTCGGATCAGGGAATTGAATGTAAATCGCAGCGGCGGTATCGGGCGGGAGGACAGTGCCGGGGAGAAAGAAGACGACGAGTTCAGTGAGTTTGGGCGGGAGGGGGAAATTGAAGGCGAATTTTGAGGTTTGGCCGTTTGGTTGTGTTTCGACGGCGACGATGTCTGTGAGGCACGGATGGTCTGGTATGATGACGGAGAACATGGTGGGCAATTAATGATGATGACGATGACGAATTAGGAGTGTTGTATTGTATAGAGCATGTAGATCGGATCTCGATGTGGTTGGAGTGGTTTGAATCTTAATGGTGTATTGTTATAGCTGGACTAGAACAGATCGGAGGGAATTGCGACGCATGGCTTAAGAGAGTTGTTTTCTTGGAGCTTCTCCGGGAGGTGGAGAAAGTAAGCTAGCTAGGCCAGCCTTTTGAAGAATTTCCTGGCGCGTTCCATGATGGAATCTCAAAGAAAGACTCGGTGACGAAATACCCGTCTTCTGGCTATTGCCCTTATCGATAAGGGTTCCCTTCCCGCCCGCCGCGCTCTAGGCTGGTTGAAGAACATCCCGTTGGTCGGGGGGGCATCCCCGCGGCTGACTTTGTGATTGTTGTTAGTGTTTGTCACTCACTAGAGTTCTGGGCTTGTATATATACGTCTTTTTTTGAACATTATTTTGGCATCATGGGCAAGTCAAATCTTGAATTGGTTATTGAGTGCGATAGGTAATTATTTCTCTTTCCTCCGTCCCCATCGCTTGGATTCTAATCGTCAGATCCGCATGGCAGATTTCCGTACTACCAAGATAGCCCCGCATCCTATCTTGAACATCTGAAGAACTACCATGTTTTCAAGGTCGCCGGCTGCGATGCTACTCTCGGATATATTCTGAACTCGACAGTAGAGCGGTTCGACTTGCCCTCGGAATGGTGGGCAATTGACTCCGACAACCGGAGCGTCACCCTCCTTGCTCCGGCCGATGCGACTCCTCAACAGCGCAGCGAGATCATGGCCAAGACGCTGAATAAGGCAGTGGAGCTGGGAACATTTGACATTCTTAAAGGATGGCGCAATGAGATGTATCCTATCTATGGACCAGGTGGGAAATTCCTCTTGGAGATGGAACGATCTGCTACCCCGCTATTCGGTGTCGTCTCGTACGGCGTGCACTCCACGGTTTACGTGGAGGATGAGAATGGTCTACGCATCTGGGTGCCCAGGCGTTCGAGAACCAAGCAGACATACCCCGGTATGCTTGATAACTCCGTGGCGGGCGGTATGAGCACCACAGAGCACCCATTTGAATGTCTTGTCCGTGAAGCGATGGAGGAAGCCTCTCTGCCGGAAGACGTTGTCAGGGCTAATGCCACTCCGGCCGGATGTGTCACGTACACATATGTCCGGAGTGCAAAGGCTGGAGGCGAAACGGACCTGGTGCAGCCAGAGGTCGAATATATCTTCGATGTCAAGGTCGGGGCCGATATTATCCCCAAGCCTTGCGACACCGAAGTCGAAGAGTTCAAGCTTTTCACTATCGAAGAGACGAAGCAGGCATTAGCTAATGGGGAGTTCAAGCCCAACTGTGCCGTTGTATTGATCGACTTCTTCGTCAGACATGGTATTTTGACCCCGGAGAACGAGCCGGACTATCTTGAAATCATCGCACGGATGCATCGACGCTTGGAGTTCCCGACCGCATCACACGTGACGGTATAAATTACAGCTGACTCGCATATATGGAATCAGAAATGTGTTGTGAAGCAAGATTTAATGTTCTATTTGATATACCCTATCACCAATCAAACGCCGGCGCTGCAATCAAAGTACCCCAAGCATGCAAAAGACTTTTCTGACTATCCGAGACAGAACGGGCCAACGCCTCAGACCTTCTGAACACTATATGTGATGGTCGTGAAAGTTCTTTTTTCTCTCTATTTCTTCAGGAGCAGATACACGTAGTCGATCCTCAAGGGTGCCAGCTTCTTGTAAGGACCTTCGAGGTAAAGCAAAAGACCACCGAAAGAGATGAAAACGGCCCTAGACGCGAATTTAGTCAGCTGTTGTACAAAGAACGATCTCGGTCACACGGCGAAGAAGTCCGCAGCAGACCGCGATCCGCGCGACACATGGGAAAATCTTACATGTTACCCTGGCTGGAACCCTCCTCAAAGCGGTAAACCTTGCCGTGGCAGACATAATCGTAGTCATTAGCCAAAGTCTGCTCGCCCATTCCAACCTCTCTCCAGCCCTTCGAACCGGAGTCGTCCTTGCCATCCAGAGAAAGCGTCGAGGCCAGAGCCATGTTCAGCGACTCGTTAACAACGCAAGGGTAAAGCTCGGAGTTGACATCGAGGGTGAAGTGCGAAAGGGTGTCGGTCGAGTTGCAGCTCAGACGCGAAACACGGTCATATTTCTGGGAGTTGATCGCGGTGATCGTGAAGGTGTCTTCGAAGAGTAACGGGTCGGACATGGTTGCGATGGTGGCTTCGAGCGTTCAATTGAATCGCAAAATATGTAGGGTATCGGCTTTTACGCGACAGACGGTAGTCGGGAAGGGATAAGACGTGCGCTGGCAACAAGAGATGTGGTGGTCGTCGTAGCGCCAGAAAGAAAGGTGAAAGCGAAGAAGTCGAGGGCGGACAGCTTTTTTGCTCGACTTTTAGCGCGGCGCCGCTTTTACTTTCCCGGAGCTGCCCCGCAGCAAATCTTCAAAGTATTCCCGTTCGGTTCATTGCGTTCCAATCATTCTACCAACTTACACGATGTCTTTTCGCAAGAGAAATATTGGTCTTTCGGCAGGCGCTGATCGCACTGGTGCTGTTAATGCTAACGCACAGCCGCAACAGCCTCCTGCGACACCAGAAATGACTCCCGGTGTTCGCCCCTCCCCCGACGATGGGCGGCCGACTACTTCCACTGGTACTCCGTCGCTGGATAACCTTTTGGCTGGACATGGAGGTCTTCCCATAGGGAAGACACTACTTATTGAGGAGAATGGGACTACGGATTTTGCGGGTGCATTGCTAAGATACTATGCGGCAGAAGGTGTGGTGCAAGATCAAAAGATTCATGTCGTGGGAATGCCTGAACAATGGGGAAGGAGTCTTCCGGGCTTGTTAGGCCCGGCTGATGCTGTTGATGATAAGCAAGATAAACGGAAAGGAGAGCGCATGAAGATCGCTTGGCGATATGAGCGTCTGGGCGAGTTTGGAGCAGGGATTGCTGGTTCAAGAGGTATACACCTTGTCATATTGTCATATTGTCACTGCAACAGTTTAGGGTAGTGTGCTAACAGACGCGATTATGCAGCGCCCTCAGGAGACCAAAGCCAAACTGCCACTGATCCAAACGTGGACAAGCGACCAGCATTCTGCCATGCTTTTGACCTCACGAAACGTCTCACTCATCCTTCCATCGCCAACGTGAACTATATACCCCTCGCGCCATCGAACGAGCCCTTGTTCGTGTCGATACACAGACGCCTTCAAGCCGCAATTGCCTCTTGTCCACCAAACACTGTCCATCGCATCCTCATTCCTTCCTTGCTGAACCCCACGATATACCCGCCCGATTCCTGCCAGCCTGACAACCTTCTGCCGTTCTTACACTCTCTCAGAGCTTTGATGAGCGCGCAGGGTGCGCGGGTGACGGCGATGATCACGTTGCCCTTATCTCTTTTCCCCCGCGCCACAGGACTTGTGCGATGGATGGAATTATTGAGTGACGGTGTCATTGAGTTGTGTCCCTTCCCGCACTCCTCCGACGCTCTCGCAACCTCGGGTGCCGCTACTTCTCAGGAAGAACCACCACAGGGCATGCTGAAAGTCCATCGTCTGCCAGTACTGCACGAACGTGGCGGTGGTAGCGATCAGAACATCGGACAGGATTGGGCTTTCACGCTGAGCCGGAAGAGGTTCGAGATCAAGCCATTCAGCTTACCGCCAGCTGAAGGAGACAAGGAAGGGCAGGATGCAGCTGTGACGGGTGCAATGCCAAAGAAGGCGGATCTTGAGTTCTAAGTTTCACGATGGGTTGGGATAGCCAGAACCAGACCACAATCACTCCTCGTGATCCGAAACGTCCAACATATTCTGCAGCTCGATCTGCTCGGACATAGCGGACCCAGTGTTGACCATTGAGCGGAGGTAGTCTCTCCCATATGAGTCAAGTCCCGGTCCAGCAGGTGATGCTGAGAAATAAGACCGAAGGCGAGGTGCGATGAATCTCGAGAAGCCTAGATATGCTTCAAGCTGTCAGCAGCTGTCATCGGAGAATAGACGAGCGGTTGTACCTAGGAGTAGCAGAAAGGGTGCAAAGAACACCAGAAACAGCGTGGCCAAGAAGCTCATCATGACTTGTGGCAATAGAGCCACTTGAACAGCTTTAGATAATGATTATACGGACTCTTATTATCTCGTGGTAGCTTCCAGCATTCGCCGAAGAGCATCATCTCCCACATTCATGACTAAGCATATAATATCTACTAGCTTGAATAGGAAAGGCGTACTTCCAGGGCAGCTCTTTAAGAGCTTCCACCCCACCGAATATTTTTTCTCGCTTCCATCCTCATCGCTCATTCAACGACAATCTGGATTTGCTGGCCAAGTCCACGAGCCTCATTCTTCACTTCGATACTCTATAATGCTGAGTTGTATTGATGGTAAGCAGTGATCCTATCCTTCTGCGCAATTGTCCCTTGCTTGCATGATTATACAAATACTATAATCTGTCAATCCCCTGAAGCTCATTAAATAATCTCATTAAAACGAGCATATGTGATTGAGAAACGTATCGAAAATGAATAGCATTTTCTTGCGCTTTTACATTTCATCCATACCATTCATTGGAATCTGAACGCTAACGTTCATATTCAGTCGCAGCAGCAGATCCCTTGATAAATTGAATTGTGCCCCTTAGTCGCTAAAAAATGGATATCGAACCCACCCTTCCTATTCCGATCTCGTATATTGGGGGTAGCTACTTTCTCTTCTCAATTGATGCAGTTACGTATGTGAGACGCGAGCATCACATTTGCGGCGTCTTAAGCGGCACATTGCCTCAAATCCCACAACAGAATGTCTTCCTGGGTTTGCCCTTGAAGCTAATGCCGGAAGAGGCCCGGTTGCTCGTGGAGAAAGGTGTAGCATGCATTGTAGACGAGGTAAAAGTCCAAAAGGACGGAATGCGAGCCCTCATGGAGGAGGATCGCAAGAAGTATCTCCGTGAGCTAGAATCTCAAGGCCAGCATGCTATGCGACTACAACACGACCGGAAGGAGCAGCAACGCGAGAAGGCTTTAAAGAAAATAGAAGAAAAGAAGGCCGCCAAGGCCAAAAAGTCTGCTGAAAAGCAGCAGCAGGAGGAGCAGCCTGACCCTGTTAATAATGAGGCTGCTGCTGCTAGAGAACCGGTTGTTGACTTGTTCGCACACGATCAGCAGTCGTCGCGCCGTTCTTCGTCCGCCACTGCTGCTGCTGCTCCCTTTGGCACTGCTATGGGAGTCACGCCTGCTACTTCTTATCCGCCTCTTCCGTATGAGTGGTCTGCTGAGCAAAAGCTACCGCTTCCTGATGTGCCTTCCTCATACCCTTTGTTCGCTCACCTTCACTCTGAAGGATACTACCTGTCCCCTGGGTTACGTTTCGGGTGTCAGTATCTTGCCTATCCCGGTGATCCTCTCCGGTTTCATTCCCACTTCTTGAGTGTGTCTGCTGAATGGGATGAAGAGTTGGATTTGATGAGTATCGTCGCTGGAGGTCGACTAGGTACTGGTGTGAAGAAGGGTTTTATGATTGGAGGAGCTGAGAAGAAGCTCGAGGGATCGGATGCTGGGAGTCCCAGTAGTGTGAGGACTTTCAGCATTGAATGGGGTGGAATGTGATGTGATGTGAACTATATTCGACGTTCTATTCGGTCTTATTGATCGTCTCTGAGCTGAGCTTCGCATGCTGCGCGCGCAGCTTGCAGCATATTCCATTGCTGCTTTTCTCGGTGGAGTAGAAGCGCAATGTCAGAGGAAGCTGTGCAGAGCTGCAAATGCAAACTGCAATTAAGCGCTCTCTCAGGTCCGGCAGAAATGCATACGGACATGATTGCAGCAGCCAATCCTCGAAACAGCTGGTAGAGCTGTTACCTGGCAAGGTTACGAGAATACTCTACAGCTGTCGATTCTCCAGCACACCCCAGGCAGCGCAGTCCGACATATAGGACTTTATTCACAGCCTTGAAGATCATACCACGGCTGAATAACAAATATGAAATCAAAGCGAAATCAATCTTCAACTATACAATTCAATCTATCACCGCGTACACTTGTAGTTGCTACCAAGTCAGGTCTCGGCCTCTTATGCACAAGGGCACGTCTCGAAAGCCTTGGGCTATCCTGCTGGACCGAACTGACAAGGCAATCGGTCTTGGTTTGCTCCAAGGACTCACTCGACAGCAAGACTCGTTCACATCGTGAGAGGAGCATCAATCCTCCCATCGATACTCAGATGCTGGTGCGAAGACTGAGTAATGTCCCATGCCTTTGTAGGAGCTGCCCCTGACAACACCATATGGATTGAAATCTCCGTAGCGGCCCGTGCCTGCTTGATGCGAAGCCTGTCAGATGTGCTGCAGACAGCAATACTCTCGATGGTGCATCTCCTGGCGCGTTAGCCTCGGGTAGTCTGCCACGACTATGGTCAGACTAACGTGGACCCAAGCTCTGCAGGATAGTCTCCCTGGCCGTACCCTCGCGCTGTCCACCATAAAGCGATCTAACGATCCTTACCAATAAAAGTCTTCCACCCTCCCAGCGGCCTAAATGTAATCCACATTGCGCCACTTGAATTTCTTATTCGCTCTGTCCACCGGACGATTCTGGAACTGACTGCCATGAAGCTCAAACACAAGCTCCTCCTTCTTCTCAGAATGAGCACTCGCCTCCCCAGCCCCCGCCGCCCCATCAGCATCAGCATCATCCGCCTGAGGCAAAGGCACACTAAACCGGAAAATAGTCTGCTCCTTAGGAATAGCTAAATCAACAACCACATTAGCAACACACCCAACCCAAACTTCATCATTAATGAAAAAGAAAGAAGAAAAACATACTCTTAACCTCATCCCCCCTCGTAACCACCACAAACGTAAACTTCGTATCCCTCACCACAATGCCCCTAACCCCAACCCTCCCCTCACACCGACTCCTGACCACCTCGACCTCCGCCCCATGAAAATCCGCACTGGAGAGTTTACTCCCATGCGACAACGGCGTCATGGGCGGCTTGAATTTCTTCTCCCCCAAGTCCAACATATCCTGCATATACCGCACCCACATGCCATGCAGTTCCTGGAAAATCGCATACTTGCATTCTTCCTTGGGGAGGTCGTACAGTCCCGAGGCGCGCTTCTGGCGCGCGGATAAAGGCTGCGGCTTTTGTTTGCGCAGGAAGTACTCTTTCTTGCGCAGGCGGTGGAGGCGACGCCGTGAGCGGTTGTCGGCGGGTGTTGGGGATGTTGGTCGCACGTAGAGTGGCTTTTGTTTTATGCGCTCGGTGAAGAGTTGGGTTGCTGTGTCGGGGGAGTGGGCGCGTGAGAGGAGGGTGTGGGCGATGTGGGGTTTGGGGGTTGTCATTCTGATGGATGGGTCTGGTTCGGTGGTGAGGGATGTGTTTGTTGAGAATTGGGATGGGGGAGGTATGGAGTGGTGGTTTGGTGGTGACAGGGTGATGGTGTTGGTGTTGGAAAATTGGTGGTTATCGGAGTTGCTGATAAGATCACATGCTGATTGGGTTGGGCCCACTGGTTGGAGATGTATAGTAAGTACACTCTTGCATTCAGCATCAGCTCATCGGGAATAAATTCACATGCAAATTCTTCTGTTAATATGTCTTGATTGAAGTTACAGCATTGTCAATGAGACGAAGGTTGATAATGTTGAAGTACCTTCAACTCAATTGTGACTTAATGAAGCTTACTCAAGGCTTCTACTACGAATTGATTGCCACAGCGAATAGCTGATTCTGACGATACTATAGTAATTGATAATCTGGAAACAATTCTCTGCATCACAGATCCTACAAGTGTCCTCTATATGGCTCATGAATTAGGATTACATACAAAGTTACCGCATCTGGTCTTGTCTGTCAATCTATGTCTGCGCAATATCAAGCTATGCAGCGAAGAAGCCCTCGAATCAGAATATAGAGCACGATGTATCGCTCAGATAAAATGACAGCTTGATTATCATATATGATATGCTGTGTGTCTGAATGTCCGGCCTCTTTTTAAAACACATTATGGTTGCCGATCATCCCTCGGCATAAATGTTTTCCCCGCATATCACAAATTATATATACTAGTACCAAGTGTCGATGATGGGACATCCCTACCAGATTGCGCATCCAACATCAACTTTATCAAAATGTCCAACCCAAGCAGCTTACCTCCATTCCCCTCCTCAGTCCCTACAGCCCCCCTTCTCCGTCTCTCACTTTCCAAATTACAAGCCCACGATGTCACGGAAACCCACAACCTCCTACAAGCCTGCAAAGACATCGGATTCTTCTACCTCGACCTCCGCGACACCGAAGAGGGCACCAACCTCTTAAACCACGCAGACAAGCTCTTCCCAATCGGCGAACGCCTATTCGACCTTCCCCTGGACGAGAAAAAGAAATACGACCTCGCCAGCCAGAACTCCTACTACGGATACAAAGCACAAGGCGCCATGATAGCAGACAGACAGGGCAACCTAGACGGGAACGAATTCTACAATGTCCCTACCCCCATCCCCCCCTCATACACACTCTCCAACCACACACTAACACCCACATAGGTCTCCAAAGACGACATCCTAAACCTAACACCCCCCCTCCCATCCCCACCAATCCTCCAAGAATCCCGCCCCCTCCTCTCATCATTCATCCAAACCTCCCACAACATCGTAACCCTCCTCCTCTCAATCCTAAGCACCAGCCTCTCCCTCCCCTCCTCTTCCACACTCCCCAACCTCCACCGCCTAACCTCCCCCAGCGGGGACCAAATCCGCTTCATCAAGGCCCCTCCTACCACCACCACCACCCAGAACCCCACCCTAGGCGAACACACCGACTTCGGCAGCGTCACCATCCTCTTCAACCGCCTCGGAGGCCTACAAGTCCTCCCTCCGGGGGCGGACGCAGAATGGACGTACGTCCGCCCCTTACCCGGCCATGCTATAATCAATCTCGGTGATGCGATGGTGAAGTTCACGAATGGGCTGTTTCGGTCGAATATCCATCGCGTGGTTGCGCCGCCGGGACAGCAGGCGGGGTTCACGCGGTATAGTCTGGTGTATTTTGCGAGGCCGGAGGATGAGGTTCCTTTGCGGCGGTTGGAGTCGGATAGGATTCCGGCGTTGGGGGAGGGGGTGGTGGAGGAGGAGATTAGTAGTAAGGATTGGGTGATTAGGAGGGCGTTGGGGAGGAGGGTTGATTTGGGAAGGCCGGTGGATTATGAGAAGGCGGCTGGGACGGAGGGGGTCAGTAGGAGGTTGGGGGTGTAGAGTGGGGAGGTGGTAGTAATTGTGATGACTTTTGTCTATGGGACTTGTTGGTTACAGGAGCGTTGGTGTGCATGGAGAGGATTCTTTTACGATTGTTGTTGGGCCTGGTTGATGCGTGCAGGGGTATACTAGAGGGTTATGTCGATCATGAGAAGTAGCCAGTATCTAGTGTCTGTAGTTTATATGATGAAATTCTTGTGAACAATAATCAGAGCCTTGGTAGTATTGCTATTTGTTTTCTTCAGTTGCTATAGACTTTTCTCTTGCAATTAGACATTAAACTCACAACACAGTCAACAAACTACTACTTCACTCAAAATCATCAGGATAATCATCCTCATCATCGTATGGCAGACCGTGCGAATCCGACATGCCGCGTCCAGTAGACTCCTGAATCTTCTGCATCTGATGCCTCGACTGAGACTGATACAAAGCCATTTCATCAAAGTCTTCACGTCTATCGACTTGCCACTGCTGAGCACCGATAGTTCGAGGAGATCCGCCACCTACACCCGCACCAGATACAAGGTCATTCGCACGACCACCACCACCACCACGACGCCGATTCCTCGGAGGCGACATAACCTCCTCAGAAGCCCTCATAGACTGCTGGTTATAGCCAGAAGAGAATCTATGCAACGCCCGATCCCCCGACATATTAGGCAACCAGTCATCTGACCGTAACCGTTCAACAAAGGCGCGATGCGCCATATCAGCTCCGAGGACCCGCGAGACATAGTCATAGAATTCCTTGGACGCAGCTGCAACTTGCTGGACGTGCTTAACCTGCAAGAAAACCGGCTTGGACGTTTCCTCGGCCTCGAATTCCGCCAGCGCGATGGCCGTTTGACATCCGTTGCGAATCTGTCGCCCGTTCCAGCGGGTTCTGGATTTACTGTTCTGCTCCCAGTTTGCGTCAGCCCACTCTAGGATGGGGCCGGTGTCGATGGTTAGTGATGTCTTTCGAGACTTGGCTTTTTCTAGATTCATCTCCCAGATGGCGTGGTTCTGGCCTTTGTTGAGCCCCGGGTAGTAGAGAGCTAGGTGGATGCGAGAGACGAAGGCTTCGTCGAAGGATCCTACTCGGTTGGTGGTCAGGAATAGTAGGCCTTTGTAGTATTCTAGTACTCGTAGGAAGACTTTTCGTTTGGAACGTCAATGTCAGTAAGAATGGAGGAACCTGTCAGATAGAGTAGAAGGGGGATATGCTCACCTGATACAATTGCGTTCCTTTCCAACTCCGTTTTGCTGCGCGCCGCAAGGAAGACGTCGGCTTCGTCTAGTAGTAGGACGCAATTCCACGCTTCAGCCTGGGCGGATATACGATTCAGCTTGTCCTCCACTACTTCCGCGCTTGTCCCCAAGTCACCGCAGGTGATCGGATACAGTGGTCTTTCAAGCCAAGCCGCCATACATTCAGCAGTCGAGGTCTTGCCTACACCCGGCTCACCGTGGAGCAAGATAATAAGACCTTCTCCTTTTCCTCTGACCACATCCGGATCAATTTGTTGGCTTTCTCCGTCCTCTTTCGACTTTCTATCTGCAAAATGGCGCTTCACCTGCGCGTAGAGCATTCTCTTGTGACCCGGCCGCAATTTGAGGTTTTTCCAGCCATCGTCGGTAGGAACCGGACGCATGCATTCGAGGTCGCAAAGTGCCCAGCGACGGCGATGGAGATCCCATGCGCAAGCACGGTCGGGCATCATAACAAGCTCATCGTTGCTCCAGACTTCCTTC